GACCCAGCAAGTCGATCAAGTGGGGGATCGTGCCCACAAGTCGATCAAGTGAGGATCGACCCAGCAAGTCGATCAAGTAGAGGATCGACCCAGCAAATCAAGTAGGGAATCGATCCAGCAAGTTTATTATGTTGAGGTTCGACCCAGCATATTGATCATGTGGGGGATCGACCCAGAGAGTCGATCAGGTAGGGAATCGATCCAGCCTGTCAATCAGGTAGGGGACCGACAAAGCTAGTCGATCAAGTAGGTGATCGACCCAGCAAGTCGCTCAAGAGGGGAATCGACCCAGCAAGTCGATCAAGTGGGAGGTCGACCCATAAAATCGATCTATTAGGGGATCGACATAGCAAGTCGATCAAGTTGGGAAATTATTTTTTGGAAGAAGGGATGCGTTCGGCTGTTCTATCAGCCACAGCTGTGGTGCCATGTCTTCGGTTGTCGTATCATACTCTGTTCAAGAAGTTCGCGTTCCTGTTGTTTACATGTGTTTGTTTGCCTGTGTATAGTTGCATCTTTTTAGAATTTTTATCGCGTCAAAGTTGATTGCTTACTCGTCGTTTCCTTTTTTCGTTTTTAAGTTGTTAAATATTTATTATTTTACAATTTTTTATATTTGATTTTCTTTTACTTCGCTAACTTAATTTAGAACGTACAATCCACATACCGTAAAGTGCAAGTGTGATGAAGTGTTCAATGGTCGAAATATGTAATATTTTTAATGTAATATTTAGATGTAATCTTTTTGACGAGAATATGATATTTTTTCAATTATTTAAATGAAATCTATGGTTAAGCGTACTTTTCTAGTACCTTACATAAAGTTAGAACTATTTCTAACTTTATCTATATAAAGAAGGCGTCTCAGGTAAATTGAAATTAATTAAAGAGTTAATACATTTAAACCTGTTGCTTCACAAATAAACTAACTTCTATTCCAAAAATCTGATCTCAAAGACAGCAGTACCTTTGAGGTCAGATAAGTGACTCACGAAATTCATACTTATTATATAATACCGAAAAGAAAACAATTTGTAGTTTACTATATCTATTTATTTTGAACATTACTGTGTGTTTTGAAATACTTATTTGACAAACATCACTTCTTTGACTTACTTTAAAATAATAATCAAAATTATTACTGTAAAATGCATAAAATGCCCCATGTCAAAACTAGTTAAAATGAGTTAAAAGACTTAATGCTTGGTTATAAGTACATATTTTAAAAGGTGGTATAATGTAAAAAAGTAAATAATAAACTGAAAAATTGTTTTCTCTTTACCTATGTATTTGGTGTATTATAAAGTTCGTGAGTCTCTGTGTTTTCTTTCATTAACCCTGTATTCCTAGTGGCGAACTTCAAAATCATTTGTAAAAATATCATGTGTTTTTAATGAATTTTATTAAATGACTTTAATCAATATTCTGTCTTCCTGAGCGGCGAAGAAATTTATTAGAAGTATCATGTGCATTGAATGTTTGCTGCCACTGCTTTCATAAAAACATGCACTGGAAAATAAATGTTTCTTTACAAAGTTGACGTACAGTTTTTATTGAAACGATTATTGAAAAAAAACCAACAATTTTTCAGTGTTTTTGAAACGCAATTATTTTAAAATATCAATTAATGTACACAGTCTTCTCATATTGTCCATTATTGAAATTAACAGGCTGAAAGTATGTATTCACAGTACAATTACATTTTAAACACCAAACTTCAAGATTTTCTGAGTGAAGCTGCTAATAAGATTAATTGGATTGAGAAAACAAACCTCAATTTTATTAAAAGTCTAAAGTAAGTTAACCAATAGTATGTAGTTTTAGATCATTTGTATATTTTATCTCGATAACTGGCCATTTTATTGATATTTATAAATGGATTTATATTATTTTGAGTACCGGTATTACAGGTTGAACATTGCAGTAATTTAAGCGTGTATTTCTGAAGAATCTTGTATGAAAAATTTTCTTCGAAAGTAGAAATATACAAACGTGAAAATACAAACTTTGATATGTAATACGAGTATTACACCATTATATCTCCTAGTATAATAATTTCCGTACATAATTCTCAAGCAGTTTTCTTATCATAAATTGAACAATTCTTCTTCTTCTTCTTTTCTTTTCCTTCTTCTCTTCCCTAGCGGAATATCAAGTAACACCAAGATTGAAACTGAAGCAAGTCAGTTGTAGCCCATATAGGACACTCCCTTTTTTCCGCAGTGAAACTGAGTGTCATAAGGTCATCTGTAATGTCCCCATTGTAGGTCCTTCACCTCTGGGGAGACTTCTTCGATTATTGTCTTTGCTGGACGATATTTTTTCCGAACTGCCTGGTGTTGGAATTTGTGGTACTGAAGCGAAATATCATTTTCCAGGAGGTACTTAACTCCTAGGACGTTGTATTTCCTAATTTCACTATAGCCGAGGTTAAGGGTCTCCATAACCGAATCTTCTGATGCTTATTTGTAATGTAAATGAAGCAGTGATTTACGTCCACCATAACTGAGGGTTATCTCTATCCGAGTTCACTAAAACCGGAGTTGACGATACAAATTTTTGAGCTGATTTTAAGAAGAAGGGAGAGAAGTTCTGTGCTCCGCGAATTTGCAAATGAACACAAACATGTATCACTGATTCGAACTCTTTATATTGCTTTTGTTACGATAAGAAGGTGTTCACTCTCAAGTAACGTACAGTAGCAACGCTTTAAGCCAGAGGTTTTGGTTTTGCATAGACCAAAAAACTGCATTTAATGATATGTAGGTAAGGCCATCCTTCAAATTGGGATTAACCACCAAACATTTGTTTTTTTCTACTGCCGCAGTGAAATCAGAATCAAGTTGTAAAATATTTTATTGGACTGATATGTTCGTGGAATAATTGCGCTGCTTCTAACCATGCATCCTAATTCTAAATTAGTGGATAAAACGGCAAACTCAGACCTTGATAACATTCCTTAATTTTTTTACGCGGCTTGGAACTTTCAAAAAAACAAACCATTTTACTGACCATATCAGTGCATTGAAATTAGGAAGTCGATGTTTCACATTCTCCGCGACTCTATGAAGTGCTTCAGCCAGACAAGTTAGAACACTCACTTTCAGGCGAAACACCTCCAGTGCCCTTGCTGCTTTCACCATGTAAGGAGAAGCATCGTTTAAAAGTAACAAAACCTTTTAGTTTAGTGCCCTACTCAGCCATAGAACACTTTATGAATCTTTGAAAAATCTGTCTAGAGATACATGGTTACATCTTTTAAATACTTCACAGTTCAAGAGATACAGTACTGAAGGCGATTGAGAACAACGTTTTCCAACAATTACGTTGGCGTTCCTCGACATTAGTGGTTTTATCGATTGATATCCAAATGTTGCTATTCTGTATATTATCTCGAATTTTATCATGACATTTCAAATAAATATGGTGTTAATAATTTTTTCTCAATGTGCTTTCATCTACTATTCATTTTTGGTATATTTTGCTCCCAAAAATTGAAATCGGGATTATTTATTTTGTGAAGAGGAATATCATTTCTAACTAAAGCTCGACACAAGTCTGTACCTGACTTACCCCTTGATGTGGAATCAGATGAAGTTGTGATGAAGGTTTGTTGAAGTTTCGATTTCCTCTCCTTGTTTTCATCACGCTTTGCTGTAGCGATGTGTTGCGTTACTTGAGAGCGTTGAGAAGTCAAAACCTGCTTATCGCAACAAGAACGCCATACAATGTTCGAATCACTTTTAAATGTCTCATTTGTAAAGTCGCGGAGCTGATAAATTCTCCTCCCTCTGAAAATCGAAGGTTCGTATTTTCTAAAATTCGAAGCTATTCTTCTAGATATTCATTCTCCAAACAAAAATGTGGCAAAAGAATGTGATGTAAAAAAGTGCTGTGATGAATAAATATGTAAAACATTGTGCTTATACACTAATACGTAAAACTATGTAAAATAAAACCTATTTCTCAAAATGTCTTCACATAAATAATTGAAGTTGATAAATTAAGTTATAGTTACCGCTCCCTAGATGCAAGCCTTCTGCCAGGTCAGCGATCTAGAGACGGAGCGCGGCTGTGGGCATCCGCCCCAAGAAAAGCGCAGATAAGAGCTGCGCTATGATCGCGCGTTAGCGTGAATCACGCCACCAAATAAATACGTAATAAGACAATGCGTTCACCGGTCCAGTGATAACCAATTCGCGACTAAAAAAAGTTCTTGTTGCCCCCGAGCACGGTACAGTGCTAGATAAAATATTTTCTGAGCTTTGAACAAGCTTTTGCACAAACGTTTTATATATTCTTGTTCATCAACTGATACGATACTGTTTTTGTTGTGGATAAATTTGAACAGCTTTATACCAATTTATTGGTCTAAAGTCAGAAAAGTGTAATCAATTACGAAAAATATCAACAAAAAATTTTTCAGTATCTGTGTAGATAATACTTATTCTCTGATTATTAACCATAAAGTATTAAAAAGCTCTTTAATTCTTCCTCAGTTAAATATTTAGTCACTCGATTAACAATACGAACATTATACTCAAATTATTGCTAATGAAACGAATATTAAGATTCTTTATTTAAAATCATCTCTAACTAAAAATTATTCTCTCAAGTGTTGAAATATAATTAATAATTTTTAATTAGATTATCCATTCATATTAGTGGAGGAACAGCTGAAACGTATCTCCTTTTGTTAGAATGAATAAAAATGGTATAAATACGTTCTGGGGCAAATGTGATGTTCGTGTGTTTGGCCTCACGCTTGCAGTATTTGCCATTTTACTGAACATGTAAAATTTGACGTGTGTGAATGTGTTTAATATTACTTTCTTTATATCATTTTATGCACGAGAATATTACTGATCCATGTGTTTCAGGCTCTTCTCAAAGGGTGGAAACTTTCATCCGGAGGAAGCTCATGTTATAACGGGAGAGTTAGATAAGTTGAGTGATGACGTTGAAAAGAAAGGAGCGGCTCTTCGCAAACAGGCCACTGAAAAAGACGCAAGCACCCAGCGCACTGTCAAGGTGGTTTCGGAAAAACTTTTACATGGGTAAGAATATTATGGAGTTATGTAGATAATGAAGGTTAATGAGAGCTTGAAAAATATTGTTTATTATTTAATTTTCAAAAATCTTCTTCGGCTGCTTTACAATCATCTTTAACACTATTGATATACTGTGCATGCAAGTAACGGAATGGCGCTCCGGTACGGTGCTCCAGGAACAAATGAAGGACAAAAAGTGCTGCGGACAAACACGTGACAAATTCTGACAAATTCGAATTTCAGTACGACCAGCTTTCGTAAATTCAAAATTAAATAATTTTCCATTTAACTGTATTATTTCTACGAACGTAATAAAACTTCACAAGTCAACAATGAAAAATCATCAGAAATAAAACTACGTGTGATTTACAATGTATCACGAACTGATACTAATACGTACTTACAATTTCTGCATCATTTTTGTGACAAGATTGTTTTAATATTGCAATTGTGTGAATTATCCCCCAAATCAGTACTCACCTGGTCGACAATAAAATATTTCCAGAAAAGAAAATACGCGAGATTTACTACGTGCCACGCCCTGATTTCACATATGTATTTAGATTTTTCTCTAACACGCATAGATTCTGAGAAAAGACGGTTTCCATGTTATTGTGGTCATCCCCCAAACCAAAGCCATTCCTTCAAGAATTGCTATTGCTGGAGATGAAGTGAGCTGATGTTGTGACTAGCGTATCTCAAAAGAGATAAAGAAGAAGCAAAAACGGAAGAGTTTATGAGCCTGGAAAACAGTGTGTTCTCAATGTTGATTCCCACATGTTATTTTTTCCTCCTCTTCAAATAAATCTTGGATTAATTGTTTGGTGAAGACAATGGGTAATGCAAACTATGGAGCATTCCAGTATTTCTACGAAAATTTTGCACAAATCAGCGAAACAAAAATGGAGGAAGGAACCTTCCCAAATTTGAAAAAAATTATAAGGTGACGCATGCACACAAACGATGAATCCAAAAGAACAAAATGCATTGTCTAGTTTTCAGTGTGTGTGTGAACATTTTACAGTGAAAATCAAATCTTTAGATTTTGTTAATGAAATCGCGAAACTTGTATACATTTCCAAGACTGAGCTATAAAATGTCACTTAAGTTACACTGCCTACACTCCCATTTGTATTTCTTCCCAAATAACCTCGATGACGTGACTGATGAAGGGGGCGTTTCCTCCAAGGCGCTAGAAAACAGGAGCAATGATTCCAACGTGTCTGGAATGACTCCATGATGGCAGATTTCTGCTGATGTTGTAGAGAGAAGATCCTGAAGAAGAGACGTGAGACGTGGGAGTTCATCCCATTTCAAAGTAAGCTTTACCAACGCCATTTATAAGGCAATGCAATTGAACGGGCGATTTTTAGTATAATAGTTGGTTTCGTCATTGTAGAAAAATGGTGGGTGAAGGCGCAAATCTGAATGCAACACCATAATTTGTGCTAAAAACTAGTTATGTATATGCTTGTATTGCTGATGATTACAAGTTTCATTTTGTGTCATTAGTAAACTAGTGGTGCTACAGTGCATACTGTCTCACATTATTTCTAAATTTGCAATTTCCGAAAATTCAGAGAGTTAAACGAAAATAAGATTCCCATCATTCTTTTAAGCCCTTCTTCTCTCGGTGAAAGAAAAAATTAATAGGCTATTGATATTTTTTTATAAATTGAATTAAATTTAGGCACAAATTACGCGAAAACTACTTTTAAAAAAATTATACATAACCTTTTTAGAGATCTGATGTTTTTGAACAGACTGTGTCTAAAGCAGAAATCTCTATCTTCAATTTCATAGTTTTGAAATATTAACTTTTTCCATATTTTCGAAAATAGGGAAAGTTTGCCGAAAATCAGACTAGCACCCTATTTATTACCGAACCTTGATACATACGAGAAGAAAATCGAAAGAAAAAATTGGTACGGTTTTAGAGACAAAATTGTTTAAAAAATTAAAAATTGCGCAATTTTTTCATTTCGCGCAAAATTATGTAAAATATACTCATATTTTTGAAAAATTGTACATGACCATACTTAAAGATTTGACTTGTAGTAACAGATTTCATTGAGAAAAATCTGTCTTTAGTATTGTATTTGTAGGAAGGCGACGAAAAAATTTTGAACTTTTACAATTTTCGAAATATTAGAGATTCTAACGAAAGTTAGACTCATGCCGTTTTTTAAGAGTTCTTTACGCTAATGAAGATAATTTTCATCAGAAACACGGAGCCAGTTTTGAAAATACTTTGAAAACGTAGTTGAGGCTTTGTGTAAAGCAAAATGTTCGTTTCAAACTCGCAGATCCTCGAGTTCGTGCAGGTCGATCGGAATATATCAATTTTGGAGAAATCCGGCTGAACGGATTAGGTTGCTAGCGTTGACCACAAGCAGAAAAATAGGTGGTCAAACGACTGACTTTGTGATACCTTTGAGGTGATTAGTACTTATCTAAATAGTTACATTTTATTTCAATCATTACTATATTCGAATTTTGCATTTCATAGGACTACGTCTAGGAAAAGTTTCGTCATTGTGTAACGCATCCCCTCATTTCAACATATTAATTGTTATATTTTTGAAACATAATGGAATAATGGAACAGTATTAATTTTTAACATGTTGCACACATTGTTTCATTTCAGTCGAGGTAACTCTTTTATTACACTATGCTTTAGTTTACAATACAACAATTTTTAGTTAAATGCGGTAGAGATCCCCGAGCTCAAGAAAAAAATCATATATTGCAGTTCTCCTCATAGTACATCACACACAGATTCTTAATTGTTTTTTAACATTACGTAAATACATAGTGGAGTGTACATTGGAATGAAATATTTATGAATGATATCATCAGCACTCTTTTATAAACTGACATCAATGTGTTTCTCGAAATGCAGAGAAATTATATTATCATTTTTCTTTTGTTACAGGTTGAGAAGTACCTATGAGGACATACATTTTGCTGAAAAAGTAACGTTAGCAATTATGAGAGTGCGGGATTTCATTAAAAAAGAAGTTAAACACATGAAGTATAACCGTAAACTCCTAACTACCAAAATAGATGAGATGCTAACTGTAATGCCCGAAACCGGCGGAAAAGATATTCTTAGTTTCATAACAGAATCTTGGCACTCTCTTCTGGATGCAGCAGAAGAACATTACAATCTTCTCGTTCAACCGATGCCCACGAATGAGAATTCAAGTATTTTTTTAAGAATATTGCAGTATAGTTTCTGTTCGCTCTCGAGGACGATTTACTGACTCGTGCAGGGTGATCAGTATGGTTCATGACGGCAACCCTATTTTTTCTATGAAATGAGTAGCTTTTGTACATTTGGTTGCAATCAATAAATGACGTGCTTTTTTCACATATGCGCAGTATAAATTAAACGTGCTGGAATTCAAAAAAGTTTCCCTTCACATTTATTAAAAGATACTAGCAGATATTTTTGCGTAAACAATGCTCTATTTCTTCAGATTCAGAACACGCGCTGCTGTGACAATTGGCACTGTATCTTCATGTCGAACTTTGTTGCACGACCAGAGTAGTCGAATCTTCTAGACGCGAACAAACTATACCATTGTTATGTTACTTATATTACTACAGTATTAATTTTCTGTCATCGAAATCTAAAAGGCGCCTTTACTATTTGTGAAATTGATTATTGTTTGGCATTTACTTGTAGAATTGGCAGGTCTTCGTTTTTATGGTTTTGATGGAATTGCTATGGGTTCGTCCAGAAAACAAATGGTTGCAAAATCACATCAACCATCTACAGTTAACAGAGTGTATGTAGAAATGCTATTTGACAACGGCGATCCGCCTATTTCTGGGAATAGCTTTTTGGAGAAAGTATGTAATTGCATGTGGGAAGTGTTCCTACCATTGCAGGAAGCAGCAGCGGTAGGTATTTTGTAGATATGTACAAGATAGGAATGGTTTACTAAGACTACGGACTTACTCATGTTCTGAGTGTCCAATGGAAAGAAAAAAATATTCTATCTTCAACCAACATTTGAGTGTCACTGTATTGTAAAATTTGAAGGAGACTTCAAAGGAAGTGCATACCTCTGAGAAATTTTAGTTGAAGCCAATTCTTTTTTATTTATTGAAGTTAACTAGGTGCACGTGATAAATAAAAACCGGTGTAGTTATGTCGTAGCAAGTAGTGAATGCAATAATACTTCGACAATATATACTTCGAAAACGACGGCATTCGCGAAGAATATGGCGGCGGTTGGAGCAGTAGTAGTGAAAGTAATGTGTCGGCAGACGGGACACATTTTTTGTTTTTTCCCCAGGGGTCGGGGTTTTCTGCACATGGCCTCTACAATACATTTTTCTATTTGTCCAGGCCGTGTGCTTAAGAACTATACACACTCTGAAATAATGAAGAATTTTCCTGTTTGAAATTAATATTAAGAATCACATTTACTCTCATGAAATATTAAAAGTCAACCAAATAATTACATCTTTATTTTGTGCACCTCACAACCAAAGTCTGTTAATTCATCAAAATATCGTATGTTTATTTATGGGAATTTGAAAAAAGCATTTCATTAAAAAATTATTTTTTTTTCTTTTGCATAACCGGGCAATTTATTGAAACCTGTTGGAAATTCTTCATTGCATATTCTCGACCATATTTCTAGTAAAGTCCTCGGTGGAATTAAGTATAACAATTTATTTTGCATTCCTTGCAAAACAACTTCCTTAAAGGCACAACTTTAAAAGTTTGAGACCACACTTGTGCATTTTTCTTTGAATGTACCGACTGAATCTAATTATACCTTTAAGTAACACCATTGTTTCATCCATACAAACTTTTTCTCATAGTTAATAAGCATTTTAAATTTTTTTGTTCATGCTGCAAGTCTGTTGCAGCTTAACATTTTACTTACTGCATTCTTATATGACATGTTTTTTGACCAATGGTTTTGTACAGTAGGCTTTCTGTCCAAATCAATTCACAATATTAACCCAAATAAACGTGGTATTTTGTCTTTGTTGGTGTCATATTCTAGAATGCACGAGCACTCATTTGCAATTCTATCACAATTCGTTGTTGAGTCTACCTATTTGTCCCAACAACAATCATATCCAAAATAGCTTCATCAACAAACGTCTGAAATGTAGCTTGTGGTTGTCTCTCTACTAGAATCTTGATGTTATCATCTCCTCTTGCTTAACATTTTACTAAAAACTGGTTCAAGTTACCAATTACCGAATGCGACTTTACTATAAAATTGTCACTGTCAGTATTACCATCTCTCACGTCACTCATGTCAATAATTTTCTTTCTGGGGTATCTTGCATCCTCAGAGTGAAGTGCCATTGTATATTTTGAGCAATAATTCGGATAATTCCTGTCAGTAATTTCACCAAATAAATTTTCTTCACAGTCATTAATTCTTCTTAATCTAACATATACACTATTCTCTCAAAGTCGGCATTACTATAAGCAAAAATTTCTATAAATGTATCTTATAAAAGACATTAGAAAGTAATCTCCACCTCTGCGTATTACAGCACAGCGGGAAAAGAAGAAACATTTCAAACGCACGCTAGCACCCTATCTGTGAGACATCCCCTTACTGCAATTAGCTGCAGACTCATTTTCTCTTATCCATCGGCAAAATATTTGAAAAATGCTTTCTTTGTCGCTTGACAACTTACATCGTTGAAACACCTCTGCGTCCTACAGTTTCAATTTGGCTTTCAATCGCTATTCTCAGTGAACCATCCGATCCAGAGATCTATCGAAGACATCAGGGAAAGAAGTCACATCCGCAGGAAACTACTTAGGAAATAGCTTTACTCTTCTTAACCCTTATTAGTTTCATTCCTGGGGAAAGTCGAGCTAAATTATTCTTAGAGAAAATTATTTTCTTAAAGAAACTTTTCATATAAAGCTCTGTAGTGGTTAAATGAAAAAGGGGATTCGCCTGAAATTAAATAAATTTAAAAATAGTACTTTACTCAAACCCACATTGCCTAATGAATTTCTGTGCGACCGCCAAATATTTGCTCTGAATCAATCAGAGCTCAGAAAATAGGCGATTTATAATTACTCCAAAATGCCGTAAAAAATTCGTGATTTTGAAAATATTGACTCATATTTGTTCCACGTCATCCTATATTTGGAATGTGGATAGTGATGACAAGAAACTTAAGGTGTTCGATAAACGAAAAATATATTTTGCATTACATTACGTAGGTTCAAAGAATAATAAATAGCTTAATTTAAATTATTTTGTTTCCACCCAAGTGGCTACACAGCTGCTGTTGAAGTTATAGGACCTTATTTGGCACATTACGCTATCCATCCCTGGAACAATATTTTTGTTCTTCAAATTATTTACCATCTTAGGTGGTCCAGAGTATCATCTTGTGTCACTGCAGTTTCTCTGACCGGAAGGTCCTCGCTGTGGCAGGATTTTCGACGCTATCTACATAGCTGGGTCGAATTCAGTCGCTGACTAGAAGAGAATTCTAGCGCCCGGTTGTTCTGGTCCACAGTTTCTCCGATCAGCAAATCCTAACAAACGGGCCACGGATCACATGCGAGCTTTCCGTCCTCTTCCTTGTCTTATGCTCTCCCTGAAACACACTCATACACGCAGGACACTATCACTCGTGCCGAGGGATCAGCCAGTTTCGCTCCGCGCGGTGCTCCGCTGGTGGTGGTGGTGGGGGGTTTAAATGGGGAAAACCTTGCAAAATCGACGTGTAGGTCGGCGCCGGAATACCGCCGTCTCCCCTGATGAAAGCAAGCACTGCGCTTACGAAACTAATAACATTAACAATCAACGTGCCCGGAAATACGAAGTAATCAACCAATCATTCAAATTTCAAAATTCCAAATGCTCTTTGCCGGCCTGAACAGGCGAGATCAATAGGGCTAAGGGCCGTAGCTGCCTGGTGCGTGAAGAGGCGCGGGTTCAAATTCCAGAGCATGGTTTTGTGTGTCAGCATGTAAATATGCGAGTTCCTCTACCGTTACTCCAGTTACAAAACCAATGTTTATTGCACCAGTCGCTGTTTGACCTTAAGAGTTAAAAAGCGACCTTAAATAAGTGAAACAATGTGCATAATTGTGTATTTATTTAACCGATTGTTTTGTTTTTTAATTATTATAGGATTTTTATAAGGCGAGAAGAGGCACTCCAGTCAATAAAATGGACGTTGTGAAACATACTTTTAATGACTTCATCGAAGAAACGTTAATAAGGTTTAAATATTACCATCTTCAATGTGAAGAAGCATGGTTGGAAGAAGTGAACGGTGAGCAATCTGCAATTTTTATATTAGTTACTGCTAAATGGCGCTTATTTATTTTATTGGAATATATTTCTTGAAAGAATCGCGCCTTTTATTTCTCCGACAGAATATTTATCTTTGTTGCAACGCATTAAGCAGATGTGCAATGCTTTTGCGGAGCAAAGCATAACGAAGTTCCATAGTAATAGAATGGATGCTGTGTCAGCGGCATACAATTTGTTTGCTAAAAAAATGGAGGAGTTGGACAGGCAACACATTGACATGCGTACAGTACTGAGCAAGAAGTTAAAGCCGCACCACGGTTACCCCGGCAATACTCTTCTTTTGAAAGAACTAACTCAAGAAATAAAGAAAGCAAATAATTCTATGGACAGTGAAACAGAAGCCCACGTGGATCAATACAAAGTAAATTTTATAACCATATTTGCTAGAGTATTATTATTGTTCAATTACAGTTAACTAGAGTGGTATTATTGTCTCACTTGTTGGCCTTTCTTTTTGCTAAGAGGAAAGAGATGTTATCAAAGGAATTTGGACAAGGTAATAATTCATGACCGACTCAACTACTTTTAAACTTTTAAAACTCTTAAACTTTTGGTAGGGATGTACGAAATGGTTACTGGTAGTGGTGGTGATGGTGGTGGTGGAACTGGGTTTGGTAAGGGTGGGATTCTGTAAGATGACATAAACGCAAACATAATATTTTGTTGTTTTTTTAAATTACAAAAATGTAATTTTTAACTTGTCTCTCAAGCAGTTAATATTTATATTAGCGGCAACTTGTTCGCAGTATTATATTTATGAGTACATGTACTTTAAATTATGTCATAAAATTTATCAAAAAATAAATATTTTGCTGTGAAACCTACCTCAAAATTCAGCATTTTCAGAAACGCTAAAACGCCATTTTCTCTAAAACGTCTCTAAATTATTCCTTAAAACTTTTTGAATGGATAGTGCTAATTGCATTCTTTAATGTGACATAAAGTTCATTTCAGGATAATTTTTGCTTTTTTCTAAAATAACATAAATGAAATTTTTGGAATGATTTCTCACATTGTTAGTATGCACATTTTTCAGCAATTTTTAAACAGTAGTATTTGTGAGTTAAAGTAATTCAAATTCTTTTAATGAATATTTTCGAAAACTCAAAATTGTCTTTGAAATAGTTTCAAATATCTAATTTACAGTAGCCTTTAAACGTAATTTTCGTTCAAATGACTCCAAATTTTTCAGAGAAAATTGCAATTCAGAACGAGGGTTTATCGTTCTTTAATATTCATAAAATAATGTTTTCGTTCTATAATAGGGAATTGAAATATTAATAATTTTGGTAAAGTAAGTAAGTATATTAATAATTTTGGTACGTGGGCGACGATAGATGTCAGCTGGCAAGAGTAAATGGCATGCCCGAATAGCTGGTCGAGATCAGGGAAATAGGGGAAAGTCTGTGCCTTTCTGTAGCACCACTTATTTAAGAATATTTATAAAGAACAGTAAGACCTGATCGTAAATGACAATTTCCTTTGACAAATTTGGAGCTGTTTTTTTAAACAAATGCGCTTACTGTAAATTCGAAATTATTTTTCACGGACAATTTTTGAGTTTTGGAGAAAATTCATTAGCTGTCATCTGATGCTCATTAACTCACAAATACAATTGTGTTTACAAATACGTGGAAATGTGCATATAAAGCAGAGGGCACGAGCTGCACGGGATGTGGTGGAGGAAACGAAGAGCAGAAAATAGTGTAAAGCGTACCCTGCAGCTGGGAAATAGCGGTCAACAACGATCAGAAGTAGCTCATCCGATGTGTATCAAGAGCTTACCCTCTTTAGAAACAGGAGGCCTTTGCCCGAAAGAATTAGCACAGTCTTTCTTTCTTTCTTTCTTTCTTTCTTTCTTTCTTTCTTTCTTTCTTTCTTTCTTTCTTTCTTTCT